CTCTTAACACCTCATTCTTGTGTTAGTAATCAGACCTCAGCATCAAGTTTAGTGAGTTTCCAACACGTTTTCCCCTTCACACAAACTGTCAAATGGAATATAAACTACACTTAAGAAGACACAAAACAAGGCTATACAACAGTATATCAGAACCAGCAGATGCCCTCAGTACAACAGCCACACAATGTGACTCATTATTCAGTTTATTAACTTGGTATACACAGTTCTCATATATACACAACATGATGTTCAGCACAGTTAATTTCTTCTACTTTCATCTATTGCATTCCCCTGCAATACTGGTCATCACTGGTTTTGTTTTCTTATGTTAACTTCCATGACTATTCATGGATTTATTCTTAGACTACGACAGCAATTGGCCTACTACTCAATAGTCAATATCTCATAAAAGCAAATCTTTTAACTCCTAAACTATTGTTAGTGCAGCCTGAGTTTCATCCAGATTATCAAACAAACACACTCTGCTTCAATGTCAAGGCAAAAATCAAGACTGATTGTTGGTATTTGTTGATAACCATTAAGTAAAGCTGTGCATGTAGGTAAAGCTGATGTACCTAAAGAAAAAAGTGAAAAACAAATCTATGAAATAAACTCATATTTACTGCGCAAAAATAAATAAATAAAATGTGATCAAACCAATGAATATCATCATGAATATGCTTTTTTTTTTGTAAAGTCTTATTGTCCAATTATGTCAGGGCTCAATGGCCCGTGAAAAAGGATCGGACTTGCACGCAGAACAAAAAAACAGAGGCTGAGTGCCTTTTAACAGAAATTTATTTTATAAGAGTCTTTGACAGAGAAAGCTAAGCTAAAAGTAAATGCAACAGCGAGCAATGACAAGGTAATATGAGAAAGGCCAGAACACAAGCTGAGTCAGGTCACAGGAATAGCAGGGACAGGAATGGGGCGATGGAAGCTATAGCGGACAGGAACACTGAAACAAAGGAGATAATAATCAGAGTGGTCTGCGGTGTAGTGAATGAATCCAAGATTCCAAAGCTAAGAGGTTTTACATGGTGCAGGTGGAGAGTAACTGGAGGAGGAGGTGAACTAGATCCGGGTGAGTAAAGAGTGCGATGTGGGTGTGCAGGGAGGCAGGCAGGTGAGGATGGCAGTTTGCGAGAACGAGTTTTACCAGCAGCAGCAGCAGACCAGAATCCTGAGGTGTGACTACAACGAGAATTGGAAGATGTATCCAGGTGCCGACTATAGAAAAGGAAGAGAGGGTTAAGCAAAACACGCTGAGGAACACAAGACAAAAATGTCTTGAACTGACTATCGTAAGCAGACAATCTGGTAAAAGTTCATTTTGAGCGCTGGTCATAAATACTGCTGGAGTATTTGCCACAGGTGAGGAGCAGGGAGGAGTGAGGAGGACTCCACCCAGGGGAGGAGCGCCGATGCTGTGGAAAATTACTCAGACTCACCCAGATCATGACAAATTATTAAGTAAGCTCTTCTTCAGTTATACTTTAACTACACAACCACTATTACAACAATATCAGAACATTTATTCACTTTGGCTGTGGTGAGCCAGCATTTCTTCCAGTTCTACAAACATATCACTTGAATCATAAACTACAATGTACTGTAAATTAACCATTAATATAAAGCCTGTGGCATAATCTATATTGATTGTATGTGCATGCGCCACTAGGTGGCAGTACTTGCCCACAAAATAGAAAATGGTTTGGCATGGAAACAGCCATGAAGGGCGTTGTTTTTTTTGTTTTTTGGGGGGTTTTTTTTGGTTTTTTGTGGGGGTTTTTTAGGTTTTTTTGCCTGTCCCATTTGGTTCTTTAGCCATCAGAATTGTTGTCTGAAGACCAACAAGGATACCCAATGGATTTATTTTGCCAAATGGATCATCATGGCATTGCTGTATTGGTCCATTTGATC